TCAAAAGGAGCAGTATTATGATCTAGGATAAGATTGAGGAGGACCAGACACCTATCTTTCTTTTTAGGAGCTAACATCTCCATAATGGAGAGAAAGTATGTTCTTGGGACCTAGAGGTTTTGCAAGTTTAGTTCTTTCTTCCTAGGATGTTCTTTATCCTGATTTTCTGGGAGCTCCCCATTTATAGGATGCTGGGTTCAAGGTCAGCTCTTTTGTCAAAACTCCTCTGACACCATTCCGCATTCCTACTCTGAGCCCAAGTAACATCCTACTCACATGTTTATTATAAAGCTTGTCTTGCTGTGGTGTCTTTGCCTCTTTGTGTTATGCAGTTATTAGGTCCTTGAGGGAGGGACTCTGTTCTAATAATCTGGATAGGTGTAGCACTTAGTATGATACCTGGAACATAACAGCTTCTCAAGAAATACATATGGTGTGAAAAACTGGATGAATGAATAAATGTGAAACAAAATTAAGAAGTATGAAGCATTCCAGATAGAAGAACAAATTCAATGCAATGAGATCTAGGGAAAGTTTTTATGACTAAGGGGATTGAGACAGTCAAGGATGACTGATGTGTGAGCCAGGCCTCGAAGCATAGTTGTGATGTAGTTATATGGGGTCCATGATGAGTGAGCCAGAGCTGAAGATGGAGATCAGCATGACCAGTTGCACAGAGATGGGAAAGTACAGACCCTGAAGTGGGAGTGATAAGTTCTTCAAATTATTTGTATCCAAGGTTACCTGAAGTTCACTCATGGAAGAAAGGTCAGACTGGATTGAGGAGTTTGATCTCTGAATTGCCTTTGGAATTGTTCAGTAACAACTTTCATTCACGAAGCAATGCAGGAGGGTTCTGAGTGGGAAGAGTAAATAAAGCTGTGGCAGAGAGATTGGGTGTTATGAAAGACTCCTTTTTGTTAAGATTGATTTTTGAGAGGGGGGGAGGGAGAGAGAGTGAAACATTGGCATGAGAGTGAAACATCAATCCATCAATCGGCTGCCTCCTGCACGCCCCCTAGCAAGGATGGCCTGTACTCTGACTGGGAATCGAATCAGCAGCCTGTTGTTTCACGAGGCAATGCTTAACCAACTTAGCCACAGAAGCCAGGGTGAAGCCTCTGTTTTTTAAAACCAGAATCTGGCTTTTGATTTTTTAGCAGTGCTTTAATATCTAGACTAAGTTTGTCAAAGACAAAAATTGAGTTTTCAAAAGAAATGTGGAAGAAGGATGACCAAAATCCTCCCCATCTTCTTCAAGCTAGGGAATCTCTGTTGCTTCCAGAACAACCAATGAGGTCCCAGGAATTTCCCATAGAAACCTGGGATGAAGTAGTGCTCATCTCTCTCACCTCATCTTCCCATGGAGCACCTGGCTTCCAAGAGTAACTTCCAGATCATGCTGGCTTGTCCTTTTTTTTGGAGACCCTTATAGCTGATCTTTACTCTGACCTGATTATGACCTTCTCTGACCCCAGATACTTGCTGAAATCCAGAACAACCTCAGCTGTGCTTCCCTATCCAGCAATCAATCCCTTTTTCATCCCAGTTTGTCAGGGGTCATGGTTTTGTGAGAGAGACACATCAACTGGTTGCCTCTTACATGCACCGCGACCAGGGCTGGGGACCAAGCCTACAACTGAGGCATGTGCCCTTGATCTGACTAGGGAGCCAAGAATCTAAGAAAAGGAGGCCTTGCCGAAACCAGTTTGGCTCAGTGGATAGAGCGCCGGTCTGCGGACTGAAAGGTCCCAGGTTCAATTCTGGTCAAGGGCATGTACATTGGTTGCGGGCACATCCCCAGTGCGGGGTGTGCAGGAGGTGGCTGGTCAATGTATCTCTCTCATTAATGTTTCTAGCTCTCTATCCTTCTCCCTTCCTCTCTGTGAAAAATCAATAAAATATAAAAAGAAAGAAAAGGAGGCCTTGATTCTACACAATCTTGTTTCCTTTCTCCATTTTTGTCATCCTGAGTAAGGAGAACAGGACCTAGGTTTAGTACTGGGCCTGCCAGAATTCTGAGACCTTTTATGAATAAACTCAGTTCTTTTATGAATAAACTCCGAGTTGAACTAGATGATGTTTAAGGCTCCAACTGTCTTTGATTGTGCTGATAAAATTTACTGGAAGACCCGAAGCAATTTTGAGGCTCAATGAACAAGTATTTGCAAGATCCTCTGAGTTGCCAAGATGAATGCGATATTACAACTATGGGATTAGCAGGAATTTAATGTATTTGTATTTCCAAGTGTCTATATTATATCTGCACGGTTAAGGTTGTAGAAAGTGGAGACACATCCCCTCACTGACTCTTAGTTTCCAAATGAATGAGATACTTTCTGAGCATTTTTTTTTAGCATGACATAAAATTTACTGTGGAAAAAGACAATGTTACAAATATCTTTAAGCACTTTATGCAAACATGCAGCTATGCTTTGCAAGACAATATTAGGTATCATCAGGCATTAAAAATGTTTTGATTTTAAAACCCTTAATGAAGATTCTTAGGTAAATTACATCATCTCTGTCTGTCGTCTTGCATCGTAGGTGATGGGTTACTATTGCACAGTCATAGCCAAATCTAATTCCACCAGGAAGACTTCTAATCGTGGTTTAATTTTAGAGCAATATTCCACTTGGCAATCAATAAGCTACTGTCGTCAAACTTTGATTTAATAGGAGACGTGGATAACATCCTCCATATTACACACAGAGAAGACTACTTTCAGGAAAGGGGGAGGAGAAAGTCTTTGTCTCCCTCTTCCCCTGCTGCCTACCATTGGCTCTCACAAAAGCCTATAAATCAATACCCCCATGTAGTGTGAATATAAGCCTCATCAATTTTACATCATTAACACCATGGAAAATCTACCACTCTTTGAGCAGTTTTTTTTCTGCTGGCTAAATATGTGCTCTACATAAAACAAGGATAAATGGATTCTGGTATTTTCCTAACACTTATTTCTTCACCAACCTTGTTTGTATTGAAATCCACTGGAATTATACAGTGATGTCCACTTGGGCAGCTAGGGATACTGGGCACTGACAACCCCTTCAGACATGAAGTCCAGTGGGCAACAGGCAACCTGGACAGGGTATGATTCTGAAGGGAGCCTCACAAGGGGAGTACAGAGGTTAATGAATGGTCCAGATTAAGAAGGGTAAGGTGTGGCAGTAAATCCTGCAGGGATGACTCATAAAGTTAGAAGCCTGGAAAGAAAGGTGGCACCAGTCTGGGAAGAGATGTTTTGGAAGACCCGGGCCAGAGGTCCAGAACTAAGGTGATGACCGGCATGAGAAGCAGATGTCTACTGTCTTCAGAGGCTGGTTGTGCTGTGAAGTTCTGATGGCTCATGGATACAGAGAAATAGAATAAGATCTTGGAGTACATCTAGTCCAGTGATTCCCAATGTGTTCCTGACGTAGTTCCCATTGAGTGCCATGTCTTCCTCCATGGGCTCAGGAAGGAGGAAGATTTGTGTCTCCCCTCCCAAAAAATGCATTGATTGTCATTCATGTTCCTACCTGAATTATTTGAACCCATAATGAATTTCCAATGAGAATCTGCTCAAAGATTAGCCAAGGAGCACAGCTACCTGGTACAATCCCAAATAAACTTGGCATTTTCATTTGCATGCACAATGAAATGTGCAGTCTTACTAGGAATAATTATTAATTTTGTTTAGCTTTTTTAAATGTTTAAAATTGCTTGGGAGTTCTTTTTATTACCTTTAATGACCCAGTAGGTCCAGCACTTTGGATTAGGAGTCACTGATCTGATACAAACATTTCATTTGATAGAAGAATGCACTGAGGCCCATATAGTGAGTGCCTTATGCTCACACAGTGGCTAGAATTCAAGCTTCTTAATAGCCAGCATGATGAAAAGGCCCTTCAAGTTATAAGGATCTTAAGCAGATGCATACATAACCCTGTACACAGAGAGCTGTTTAATGAGTGTGTGTGTGTGTGTTTTAGATATACTTAATAGGCAAATAGTTATAAAGGTCACTATCACCAACAGGATAGTGAAAATCATTTGTTGAAACTTAAATAATCAAGGCAGGAAGGTCAGTTTCAAAATATTTTCAAATTACTGACCAGCTATCCCACCTTACCTTGTTCAACAACTTGGGCCAGGCACAGCACAAGGTTCTGGAATGACAGAGATGAGAAAAACAGACCTGGTGGGGAAAACAGGCAAAGGGCCAGGCAAATATGTCAGAGAAAGTCTTGGGAAGCAGTCCCCTAGGGAGCTGTGTGTGAAGAGTCCATCAGGAGTTTCACCATCACTGAGACTGACATTCCATGGAAACACAGAGGGAGAGGGAGGGAAAGCCTTGTTCAGGGGAGGTATCACAGAGGTGGTGCTATTTCAAATGGCCTTTGTAACAGGAATAAGATTCGAACCAGTGTATAAAAGAACAGGCAGACAGAAAGAGGGGGCCAATTCATGAACAGCCTAAGATATGGGGGACCCCACATCTAGCCTAGATGGTGACTGGACAAGTTAGAGAAAGGGCTTTATTCCTCAAGACACTCAGTCACCATCTGTGAGAACATTGTAACCATGCAAAGGCACGGGTTCTGTGATTGTGAGTGGCACCCTGTGGCTGTGCAGTGTAGGTCTTCCACCTGGTATGTGAATGTGCTCCATATCCAGCCAGAGCTTGGACTGGGCTGCATCAAGAAGGATGTAGCAGAAACTCTGCCACTGAGCAAAGCTGACTGGCTAGGGAAGGCTGAAGGAAAGCCAGCTCACAGATGCTCCGCCAGCATTATGAGCAGTCCTGTTTACCTCTCAGGTCACAGCCCTAAGACCTAGGAGGGGAGCCTCCCTCTCTCATGGGCAGGCACAGCTCTCTTTCCTTCCATCTGGACCAAACAGCTTTTCCCAAGCCCTGCGGGCCTGTTCACGCGTAGCTGAAACACATCTCTCATTGATTAACAGCTCGAAGGGGAAGTCCCCTCAAATCTGCTCTTCCTTTTGTCTCTCGCAGGCCCTTCAGCATCACCATGCTGTTCACGAAATTTCCTACATTGCAAAGGACATCACAGACCACCGAGCCTTTGGCTACGTTTGTGGGAAGGAAGGAAACCACAGATTTGTGGCCATAAAAACAGCCCAGGCGGTGAGTACCCCATCCAAAGAGGACACCTTCCCTTGTAACTTGTGGGGACAGTCACACTGCTGGTCTCTGGATGTTTGCCTCAGCGATACTGATATTCAGGTTCCTATCTAGAAAAGATGAACAGCCTGGAGGCGGGAAAACACCTCATGCCCATCCGGGTTTGTTGCTATTTTTGCTAATGGGTATTTCGCAAGGACTATTTTCCTTTCTGATTAAGCAGGTTTGGAGGTACAGTATACAAATAAGTTTCCTGGTGTTCATAGCCTCATTTAAAAAGAAAATAAGAGAAAACAAATAGCCACTTTGCATAAGGCCTACTCTAATTTATTGTATCCGAAATTACTAATAAATAAAAGCACTGCCTTTTAAGCCTATGATTATTATGAATTTACAAATATAATTAGTTGGAGAAATGAACTTTAGCCTAAATGCAATTTACTAAACCAATACAAACAAGGTAGAATTAATTAAAGATGGAATGCTTTCAGTTGAATAGGAAGAGGAAGAGCTGTAGGTTGTAGCCAGCATGCACAAAAGTGGGTCTTTGCAGCTCAGGCACATCCCCTTATTAATAATGCGTTTTACCACCTTTCTCTCCAGGCTGAGCCTGTTATTCTGGACTTAAGAGATCTCTTTCAACTTATTTATGAATTGAAACAAAGAGAAGAGTTGGAAAAAAAGGCACAAAAGGATAAGCAGTGTGAACAAGCTGTGTATCAGGTATAGCTGTGAGTTTATCCCGGTCCTGGGGAAGATTGGGGCTTAAAATAAATAGATGTGAAAACTGACAGTCAGGGCTTCTCTTCCCGCCGCCAAATAGCAATAAAGATGAAAGGCTTGCATGTAAATTACAAGCTCAGAAGCAAGCAGTGAGAAATGACCCCTTATTCTCTGAAATTCTAGACATGTAAGAGAAACGGAAATCTCAAATCCAGAGGAAGATTTCAGGGGAGGACAACGAAAGAAACACAGTTGCTCTTGCTGTTGTTACAGTGGGTGGGGGTGGCTACAAGGGTTTTGTGGTTGTTTTCTGTGTGTTTTCTACCTAATGGCCACCAGCCTGTCCTACGCAGAACTGGTTTCTTTACTGTCCTGTAACTTCTGAATCCAGTCTCACATCTCTCCTATGTCCTCTGCTCTCACCCCCCACCCTCGCTCTGCTGTAGACAATTCTGGAAGAGGATGTTGAAGATCCTGTGTACCAGGTAATTCCTGAAACCAAATGGGTTTTTAGGGTCCAGAATGGCGAGGCCTGTGGTATAGACTTGAAGCATCCACTTCCTGAGGAGGCCAGACTGGGACAAGATGCTTTCTGAGGGTGAGGGCTGCCAGCTTCCATGAGAGCTAGCAGAAGTGTGGCCAGTATCAGGGACATGGGGTGTGGCCATGTGCTCTCCCATCTTGCCTTGCCTCAGCCCCCTCCACAATCTGTAAACTTCTGATCCTGAAGCTGAATGTTTTCACGAGTCTCTTGAATATTCTGAGTTCATGAGAGAGAATGAATAATGAGGTGGTTTCTCTGAGTCAAGAACTGGAGATGGGGACTGGCGTTCTGATATTTGAATGCAAACCCAAAGGATAGGTCTGTAAGCTTTGGAAAGGCTGTGAGAGGCCTCTCCCAGCTTGATCAGCCAGGCTGCCTCTCTCATGAACTGGCTGGTGTCCAGAGGCTGTTGTAAAGAGGGAAAGGGAGATCCTAGAGACATCCCAGCCAAGAGCTTTCTCTGCATGCTCGTCAGGGTTGCAGCCCAGGTGTGCTTGGAGACATGACTTCTCTTGGGCTCAGGTATGTGCTCTGCTCAAACAGATGCAGGGAAGAGAGAAGAGGTGGCACCTGTCCCTCACCCCAAATGCTTATTCCCAAGGAAAGAAAGAAGTCCAAACATGTACTTGTTGGACATAAAAGAAAACCTGAAACTTGTATTTTTAACTGGGACACACATGGGTTATAGATATGTGTGTGTCACACTTGCATATGTGTGAATGCATATTTGCACACAGAAAGCTGCTATGCCAAAATTAAGATAATATGGATTTTAAAAGCAGCATAATATGGATAACTTGTAGTGGAAGAATTACCTAGCACATAAGACTAACAGAAGCCATATGCACTTAATGACGGCCCTTGCTTTACAGTGAATGCTGAGGCGAGGATTTGTTTATAATGCGAGCTCAGCCCTTAGCTAACTGGCTCGAGAATGAAGAGTGTTGGCCTTTTAGAAATGGGCTTTTAGAAATGGGTCCTTTAGAGTCACAAACATGCACATGGCCATTCTGATATCTAATACTTCAAACTGAGAATGAAATCCTGGTGGTATTTATGGAATGAGGGAATTTGGGGCTTATGAGCCCTTCAAAATTGGCTTAGAGACCTGAGCCTTGAGCAAAGAGAGGCCACTGCTATGATCCAAAGTTTACAAAGTTGGGACCCAGACATTCCCAGGAGTCGCCATTCCCACTCAGCATGCCACACAGGCAGGAAGTACCGAGATAAATGCTGCTGAGTGAGGAGGCTGTGACTGCAGAGAAGCTGCTGGGCCCCATGCAACCATCGCGAAGGACTGGCTGCCAGCCATTTGTAGATTTCTTTAGAAAAGGCAGAAATGTGCAAGGCCCGCGTTTCAGTGGTTTTACTAAGATATGTTCTCTTGTGCCCGTTTCTTTAATGCTCACTGTGGTTTATATCTTGAATTCCCAATGCTTTTTTTTTCCTCTTTCTTTTTCCTCTGAACTTTCCTCTCTGGCTGCTGCATAATAGTACATTGTGTTTGAGGCTGGACACGAGCCAATCCATGACCCCGAAATGGAAGAAAACATTTATCAGGTATAAAATCGCTTCTCTCTCAGCATTGTACCTTCACCAGCAGATGTTCTGCGGGGTCTGAAGGACCAAGGCTCTCTCCGCACAATCCATGAAGGCATTCCAGGCTGGTTAAGATATCCCTGCTTTCCACTTCCCTCCAACTTACCAGCAGTTTTCATACCTGATCATGGGATGGTTCATGGCCAGTTGGGTATAGTGTTTTAACTTATAATAGATCTTAACTATTTTCAGTCGACCTAAAATCAGCTCTTCATTTTTCTAAATTAATTCATTGGAGGGTTGTTGTCCATAATATAGCAGGGTCCTTCGTTTCTCAAAAGAATGTGTTCATCTGGTTTCTTTAAAAAGCTCTCCACACTACTAAAAATGAAGTACAGATTCAAAAATGATACTTGAAAATAACATTGGGAAAGCTCACTGAAAAAAAGTAAGGATAGCTAAAGGTTTTACCCCTGCTGAAGGGAAGGTAAATTAATGTTCTTAAATGTCCTCTTATGTGAAAAACCACTAACACACTTTTAATCCATTTCATTCTCACAAATACTCGATGAAGTAGGCATTCGAATTCCACTTTCACAAAGGGAAGCTGAGACTCGGAAAGGCTGAGTAGCTTTCTCAGGGTTGTACAGTTATTTAGGACTGAGATCAAACCCAGGCACGTGTGTGAAGGCTAAGCTCGCGCTTCTGCCTCGTGCTTTTCCATCAGAGAGTTTGAGTAATTGCAGCTTAGCAACACATCAAGCAAATGTGACAACCTCCAGTTTTTCACTAATTAGAATTTCAGTCTTAATTTGAATATAAACATTAGAGAAGTAGGAACAATTTTAATGTATTTCATAAGTGATTTTAATTTTCTTAATTCACTTAGTTGTGTGGTCTGTTATTCTGCCTTGGGCACACATTACTTGTGTAATAAAAGCAAAACAGATTTTCAGTTTGCATCAAATGCATGGAATGCTAAATGACCGAAGTATAATGTTGGCTCCATCAAGTGCTCAGTTATAACCAGCCCTGTGGAATAATCATCTAAGCACAGTTGACCATTGAAACAATGGGTCTAAATTACATGAGTCCATTTGCATGTGGTTTTCATTAAATAAATACCTGTACTGTTTTCGATTTTTGGTTGGCAATCCGCAGATGCAGAGGGCTGACTGTATGCATTGCTCTATCCCATCTATATAGGGAACTTAGCATCCACCAATTTTGGTGTCCAGTTGGGACGGGAAGAGTGTGGTGTCCTGGAACTGATTTCTGGTAAATACCCAGGGACAACTGTTTTCAGGGAGTCAGAAGTTATACACAGATTTTCAATGCAGGGGGCAGTGCCCCTGATACCCATATTGTATGTTTATCCACCTGATCTGTCTGGATTGGATCCAAGTGTGAGGTTGTGCTTGGAGGTTTTGTTTAAAATCATCAATGACAAAATTTCTGTCTTCAAACAGATAAGTTGCATCTTTGTCTTTAATGGCAAATTTTCAAGTACAACCTGGCAGTGCCAAAGGAACCATGAACCAATATTCCTCTGAAGAGAGAGCACCTTTTATTTTTCACAGTTTTCCTTTTCTTAATTTTTATTTCATATATATATATATATATATATATATATATATATATATATATATATTATTTTTTTACAGAGAGGATGGAAGAGGAATAGAGAGCTAGAAACATCGATGAGAGAGAAACATAGATGAGAGAGAAACATTGATCAGCTGCCTCCTACACACACCCCACAACCAAGGTACATGCCCTTGACAAAAATCAAACCTGGGACCTTTCAGTCCACAGGCCAATGGTCTATCCACTGAGCCAAACCGGTTTCAGCAATTTTTATTTTTAATCGCAGTTTATATTCAGTATTATTCTGTATTAGTTTTAAGTGTACAGCATAGTGGTTAGAAAATCAAATATTTTACAAAGTGTTCCCCCTTATAGTTCCAGCTTCTACTGTCACCACACATAGTTATTCCAGTATCATTGACTATATTTCCTATGCTATATTTTACTTACCCATGACTATACTGTAACTACCAGTCTGTACTTGTCAATCCTTTCACACTTTCACCCAGACTCCCAACAATAGATGAGTGGATAAAAAGGCTGTGGTACATATATACAGTGTAGAGAGCACCTTTAAAAATAATAGACCCTTCTTTCATTGATTGGCTTATTTCACTCAGCATGATGTTCTCCAATTCCATCCAGGTTGCTGCAAATGATGAGAATTCCTTCTTTTTATGGCAGCATAGTATTCCATTGTGTAGATGTACCATGGTTTTTTGATCCAATCATCTGCTGACGGGTACCTAGGCTGTTTCCAAATTCTGGCTATTGTAGATTGTGCTGCTATGAACATAGGGGTGCATATATCCTTTCTGATTGGTGTTTCTAGTTTCTTGGGATATACTTCTAGAAGTGGTATTACTGGGTCAAATGGGAGTTCCATTTTCAGTTTTTTTTGAGGAAACTCCACACTGTTCTCCACAGTGGTTGCAATGTAAAAATAAATAAATAAATAAAAAATAAAATTTTAAAAAATAAATAAATTTAAAAAAATAAAAATAATAGACCCTTCAATATAAGAGGTCTCTGAATTCAGAGTTAGTTGTAGTTGGCAGAACTCCAGTTGTACCCTGTGGGGTGTACTGGGGGAGGGAGTTTTAGGCAAGTAGAAAACTGGATTCTAGTTGTGGCTCTGTTGCCAACAACCTTTGGCTGAGTGGTACTGGGCCAGGTACTTGCCCTCTCAGAGACTCAGCTTAGCTTCCCCAATGACAAAATTGGGGAATAGTTTCTTCCTAACTCACACGTTGGCATGAGAACAAAACAAGCTCAGGTAGAGAAAGTCTGGAAGATGCTCATCTGGGTTACACACTGAGCCCATCATATGTGAATTCAGGATCTTAAGTATCAGTACTATCAACTCAGCCATTACTATACCTTCTCAAGTTTCTTTTCTCCTCTGAGCCTCAGTTTACTCATCTGTAAAATGAGTCAATGAAACTGGGAGTCTCTCAGGCAGTGCCCTTTTCAGCTCTTTGCAACTAGTTGTCTCATCATACACTTGTGATTCTTCAGAGGAGCATGTTTTACAGGCAAATAATAATGGTGTGTGTGTGTGTGTGTGTGTGTGTGTGTGTGTGTGTCTGTGTGTCTGTGTGTCTGTGTGTGTGTGTGGTTTTGGTAACTTTTGTTTGGTGCTGATTGTGGATTGCTCTGTGAGTGAAGGTTTATATGCAGTATCTTAATGTCCCTCACTGCAGCCTGATGTGGTTTGAGCCATTGTTCCCACATTACAGATGAAGAAAGGGAGGTTCACAGGGTTGCGGAGCTACAGGAAGTAAAACTCCCCAGTCAGTCCCACATCTGTGTGACTTTGTGAATGAGTAGCTTAACCCTGGAGCTCTCCTTAGCTCAGAAAATATTGATGCTGAATCTCACAATCAAATTCTGTGTATCTTCAAGTCACCATCTAAAAGTCACACTTGTTCTAACAGTTCTGACCTCTATTCACCCTGTCTGTCCATCATGAACAGGAAGATGCCATTTAAAAAAATGAATATTTTACTGCCCCCTATTAGAAAGGTCTTTGGTCATTTTTCTCTCTTGCAATTGCCAGGCTGGGCCTTGATTTGCTTACCAAGAGATAAACTCTTGGGCATAAACATAGGTCTGGGCTTTTAAGGAGTTGCAATTAGGAACCTCATTATTTTTTTTTTTGAAGGGCCTCCAAGTGTTGCATAGCTACTCCTCCTGAGAAGATTGCAGTGTTCCTCATACTTCAGCCAAGCCCAGACTGAACTCAGACTCAATTCCATCTCCCCTTTTCTGGAGTGAAGAAAAGGGGACTAGTGCCTAGTCCTTTAACTATTTGATGACTCTGAGGGAAGTACATAACTACTGCATCTTAATTTCCTGAGCTACAAGTAGGGATACGATATCATCCGGTTCTAGAAGTGATGTAAAATGAGAAGATCAGCAGTTGGGCCTAGTAGGCTCCTTGTAGATATGAACTCCCCTCTCTCACCAGTGTTGTCAGCATCTGCTGCTGCCCAACTGTCTGATGATGATGTGTTAACTGAAGGGGAACATGACTCACTCACCCCATCTTGTCCTAGAGCTGCAACTGCTCCCAACTATGCTGTTTATAACTCCAGCCGACAGGAGGGAGGGGCTCTTGAGGAAAGTAACATCTCTTTGAGATTCCCCGTCTCCTTTCCCAACCAGATTGATCATCATAATTGTCTTTCTCTTTGTGTGCCTCAGAAAAGTTAACAGCCATCCCTTTAAAATGACACAGAGCCTTGTGGTTCAAAGCATTTTTACACGGATCTCAGTTTTGACCCTTCCAGTACCTCGGTGAGATAAAAACAGCTATGATGACAGTGGTGATGACAATCATTTTAAATGTAAGAAAGTCAAGTCCTCCAATCTGAGTGCTGGGTCCAAGGCCAGCACCTCTGATTCTGAGCCCAGAGTTCTTTCATTTCTTAACAAACCCCCCGCCTGAGTGAGATCACAGCTTCCTGTGCAGGCATGCCCCAATTTCGTTCTTTTCAAAAATCATTTTTAATCACCCACCATGTGTCAAGTATCATTACTTTAAAATGTAAGTCTCTAGTCCTATGTCACTGCCTCTCCACACTACTGATATGCTGCTGCACTGACAGTGTCTTCTGTATGTACAGTACTGAACATATAGATTTAGAGTCATACCTCATCTATTAATTGGTTCAATTAAAAAGTAATTATGTATCGAGCACCTAGCCAGTGCCTGGTCCATGAGGATGTACTGGTGACCACGGCCTAGTCTCCACCTCAGGGAATTTATATGCAGCCCCTTGGTTGCTCATGACAACCAGATGAGGGCACTGAGTGCAGGGAACAAAATGACCTCTGAGGTCATATGGCTTGTGGCAGAGCCAGGTTTAGGAACCAGACTTCCCACTTCCTTTTAGTCCAGAACCATTGTCACTCCCAAACATTTTTCCCAAATCCGTCTTCCTGAAGACATGGGCCCGCCCGGGGAGGAGAGAGCCAGGACCCCTGCTCTTTCTGGTCCCCATCCCTTGAGCACCTTGGACAGTGTCCTGCCCTTAGCACACACATGGTAAATGGTGGATGCTTAGAGATTTCTTGCTAAGCAGTGTTTACAGATGAGAGAACAAGAATAAGAAATATCAGTCCTGCCCTCAGCAAGCTTGCAGAGCAGCAGGAGTACAGAGGACCCGGCAGCTGCAGTGTGAGAGTCCTATGTCAGAGAAAGCCCCTTTCCCACTTCGCTGTAGCAGCCTGGTTTCTCCCATCTCTCCAACAAGCCAGGGGCTCTGAGCAATCAGAGGCCATACCCGTCTCCATTTTCCAACATCTTTCCAGTCAAAGTACCTTACATGACACAAAATAGGTACCTGGCAACTTTTATTTTTTAATGAAAGGATGCACCAGAGGTTACAAGACTACAGAGAAAGGTTCAAACGCAGCCTGGGGAGTCAGGTGAGGCTCCCAAGAAGATGCCTGGGCTGAGATAAATCTTAAAGGACAAACAGGCAGATTGATATCGCATCCATGAGAGAGAAAGAAGAAAAGCTTTTTCAATTATACACAGTTTGGGTTTATTTGTCCCGCCACTTTCCCCCCATTTGCAGGGATAATTGAGAGTAGCAGCGGTTCGGCTTGCTAAGTGCCCACAGTGAGCAGTGAATTACGGAGAGCAGGAATACTGTTTGTTGAGCTCGGGAAAGGATGAGCTCATGGAAATCAAGGGCAGGCTTGGAATTTATTGGCCCTCGTTAACAAGGACTCCGTGGACATTCTTTGAGGATTCATTTTAGATGGAGCCCAGTTATCAGGAGCAAAGAAAATTGCATTCTTCATTGGCTACCTGCAAAGGAAGGTTGCAGGAGTGGTTCTCAAGTGCCTCTTTTGCACAGCCATGCTCACGCATAGTTCCACTGTCTACAAGAATGTGCAGGAGCTTCCGGAAGTGCAGAATATAATAGCAGAGAAAAAAAGACCCTGGAATAGCTATAAGGACAGTGGGGCCAAGACCCAGAGAGAACTGTCTGTATAGTAGCTTATATAATAAAAGCCTAATATACTAATTGACCAAATGGCAGAACGACTGGTCACAATAACTCACACTGACCACCAGAGGGCACATGCTCAATGCAGGAGCTTCCCCTTGGTGGTCAGTATATTCCCACAAGGGAAAACTTCTCAGCCAGAAACTTGGCTCACAGCTGGCAAGCGCAGCAGCAGCAGCAGCAGCAGGAGCAGTGGTGGGGGCCTCTCCTACCTCTGCTGCAGGCAGGTGGTAAGAAGCAAGGGTCCCAGTCTGTGAGAGCCCTGGACTGCAAGAGGGATGTCTATCTGCTGGCTAGCAGACATCCCCCAAAGGGTCCTGGACTGTGAGAGGATGCAGGGCGGACTGAGGGCCTGCCTCTCCGCAATGCACGAATCTGATGCACTGGGCCTCCAGTAGTAGTGAAAAGGTCATCTGCCCAGGCTCCACCCTCTGGCAGAGCCCTTTCTGGGCCGCACTTTCTGGTTGTCATCCCTCCCTGATTGACTTGTTCTGAGGATTACGTGAGCATGCACGTAAACAAATGTTCAGAATAGTGCTGGCACATAGGCAACAATAGTTCACACTGTTCAGAATAAATGTCTTGTATGGTAGCCAGAAGGAGTTGGATTTGAATCTGATCATTCCCTGTCTATGAAGCTTTGAGCAAAGTTCCTGAACATCTCTGAGTCTCACTTTTCACTACTTAAAGTGAAGGATACAATACCAATGTCTTAGGGTTATTGTAAGGATTTTAAGTTAAATGAGAGTGAAAATGACAAAGGAACTCAAAGAATAAGCTCAAATTCTTACTTCTGTAAGGATGGTTTGGTTACCTAGTCCAAGCCTAAAAGCTATTTTTTCTTCACCATTTCTCACATTTCTTTATGGAACATTTACCCAGCAGACACGACTGAAGGTCTACTGGCCTACTGAGCAGTATGCCTGCTCTTAGGGAGCCCCCAGTCTTAGGAAAAGCATGCTATTAGACAATTCTAAAACCACTGTTGGCTGATCCCATCAGTGGAGATGTGGGCTAAGCTCTGCTAGGTGCTGGGGAATGACAACCAATGATTGCTTTCAATTTGGGACATTTCAGTACAAAGCCCTTGATTGACAAATGAGAGCAGTATTCACTTATCCACTGTTAAGAGTGTGTGTGTGTGTGTGTGTGTGTGTGTGTGTGTAATGCACTCATGATAAAAGAAGCTATCATTCTAACATTTTTCCATATTATGGTGCCTAGTATATTTTGATTATTGACTATCTATTTTCTCATTTGATCTCCACAATAATCAGAGTGAGAAGCAGAGGCGATAGCATCGTTTTGTAAGAATACAGCTCAGAGGAGATAAGTGACCAGCTTAGAGTGTTACCATCACCATGTAGCCCAATCAGACTGGATGGGTGACTAAGAGAAGAGAGGGAGAGAAGACACAGATAAGTGTTTTTTTTTAATTAAAAATTGAGATTTTTTTTTTCCTAGATCCTAGTCTCAAGCTTTTCATATAATTTCTGGGTCTTTTCCTTGAGCAAAGCCTTTGGTGATTACCCAGTGGCTTACTCACGATCTCAACAGAAAAAGGATTTTGTACAAGGACCTTAATACTTGATACATTTTAAATAGCCAGGATCTTGGTCTTAGGGTCAAACAGTCTAAGCTCAGGTATAAACTGTGTTTAATCACTTTGAGCAACTCAGAGAACATTCCTGGGCCTCAGTTTTATATTTGGTGAAATGAGGATTATTTGTTTCACCACAAGATTACTGAGGTCTCTGCACCTTCCTATTCTGTGGTTCTGTGATTCTGTGAAGGAGCCCAAGGCAGAGGCAGCCTGCAGACACATGTTAAATGATTCACACACACAGCCCTCCTGGTCTGCTGCTATCACAGCCCCTTGGAGTTGGCCCCTGGGTCCTCAGAGCTGTTCTCTCACACACACATATCCCCTGGGATCCCCTTAGAGTTGAGTTCTGGGTGCTTTGTTCTTTTAAAATGGAATACCAGAGTGTTTTGACTGTGTTGAATTTTTATTTTTCCGTAGGTTCCCACCAGCCAAAAGAAGGAAGGTGTTTATGATGTGCCAAAAAGTCAACCTGTAAGTGTAAGTACATCTCCTTTCTACTGCCAGGTTCCCGTGACCTGTGTTCATGTGTCTGCAACCTGAGGAAATGGACCTTTTTTCTAGATAAGGGTCGCAACCCATGTGGCTTCTTGCTGGGACTCCTTATTGGGTTGGAGGGAAGGAAGCATAGGGAACAGACTGGTGGGGCTGCCGATCTGTGTGAAGGTCTGGCTTCGTGAGTGGCAGTAAGTTGTACTATGTAAACCACCACATACAAGGGATTGGAGGTTTCAGGTATTCTTCAGCCAAAGATTTTAGGGGACATTGTCTTTGTTCTGGGAAGATTTTTGGCCATCCAACTTGGAAGTGGTTGAAAAGTTTCAGAGGAACAATAGAAGAAGGGCTAGTCAAACCTTTAGAGTGTGTAAGGGTCCAGCCAGTGGCCAGAAAACTGTGGGAAAGGCCGTGTGTAGTGGTATAAGGAGGACCCAGAAATTCACTGCATCCAAACCCCATCTGCTGGTGGGACTCCTGGAAATGCGAGAGAGAGAAAGGAAATTTCATGCTCTAGGCCCAGACCTACATTTAGGATCTTCTCATGGCACTTTGACCCCTCTGCATAGGGTGTCCCCAAAAATGTATGTACACTTTGAATGATGATAAAGGCAGTACTTATTAAAATACATTTTATTTTAAAAATTGAGCTCTTTGCTGTTAAAGTGTGTACATTCTTTTTTTTTGGGGGGGGACACTTTGTATAATTAAGGGTGTACTCAGGGGCCAATGAAGGCTCTAGAGCAGGGGGGCATGAGATTTTGCCACAGCGTATGTAAGACAAACAAACTAAAAAAAAATAACTAGGATGTCTAATCACTATTGATGTCAATAAACTCAGCAATGGGTGGAAAGAATATGGTCTTGAATTCCTGCAGACCCTCAAGAATCCCAGCTCTGGCCCTTGCAAGCTGTTGGGAGAAATGACTCTCTCTGGAACATTGTTATAGGTCTAGACCCCACACTGTGGGAGATATAAAGACATACCTGTGTGTTTCAAGATCATATTGATGAAGGGGGTTTGAAACTCCATCCCCTGAGGAGTAGCTGAAGGACTTGAAATGTTTGACCCGGAAAAAATAAACCATGTAAAAGAGAATATAGAGATGGGAGTCCAGTGCACCATGTATGGAGGGGGACTGTGGTGCTCTGTGCCAGTCAGCTCAGAGAACTGGGACCAGTGGGGGCAAGGAAGCCAGTTCCAGCTCTAGTGAGAGTGAGCATCTGAGGGGTATGGCTGTGCAAGGGTGGAGCAGCCAGCAGCTGAGACGGTACACTCCCCAGCCTGTGAGACCCCTTTTCAGCAGGACTGTGGGAACTTTGAGCATGGGATTGGCAGAGGACCGAGTGAGCTCTTGATGTCCTTCCACATCTGAGGTTTTGGATTCTCCGAGTTGGGAAGTCTTTCTGGTCTAAATCTTAGTCTCTCTTGACCACCCTCCCCTTTGTACTTATGAAATTTATTTTTGCGTCCATTATTGTGTCCATTTCTCTACCCCCACTGGGCCAGGATCTTACTGAAACCACCATTCCGCACCTAAATACTGCTTCCAAAGCCCAATTCAGATTAGTTTTAATAGAAAAAAAAAATCTAAATATGGGCCCCTTCCAAAATCCCAGGTCTGGAAACATAGTAGAGATTATGCAATGGGTGTCACTCAGAGAAAAGTAATTTTTCTCCCTGAGGCCCTTGCATTTAATCAGGCCTCCTTGTCACTGAGACATGGGTCTTTCCAGTTTCAGCTGGTTCAGCCCCCAGACGCAGCTCCCCATGATTCCATTTATGCCTATATTGCCTCACTGGCCCCTAGCAGGGGTAGATACTAGAAGAAACATGCCTCATTTGCCACCTTCATTTTAGTGAATTTATTAACCAACCTGGCCTCACCATCTCCGTGCTTAATAGCTAAAATAAACAAAAATCCAAGTTCCTTAGCCTACACAGCATAGGCAGCACTCAGGTTCCAGCCTTAGTCTATGTCTCTGACCGCCTCCTCTTGGTCCAGCTCCACCAAACTAGTTTCCTGAAGGAACCAGCCCCCACCTCTCACCTCCACCTGCTGAAGCCATCCCCTAACAGGCCAGCTTAGCTGCAAGCTCTGTGCCCTTAGGGAGACTTTCTGGTTGTCTGCTCTGAACTGTGTCAGAGAGCACCCCTGCCTTGTGTCCTCACAGCCCATCGTTCCTCTCTTCATAGCCCTTACACACAGTGGGAATCCTCCTTCTTCCCCATTGCTTCCAGGAGCTTCCTGAGGTTCTTGTGTTACCGGATCAGGCCCAGGGCCTGATACATGAAAGCCAGGCACCTCACAACCGCTCAAGGGATATTTAATAAATCTATGAATGATTCTACTTTGTAATACGGATTTGTGAAAATCCCCAGCACTTTCTTTTAATGGGAATTCTCTGTTTGTCCAACTCTAAAATATCTATTCAACATAATATGGTTTTGTTGGGAACTATCTGGTCTGCCTGAATGGCCCACCAAGGCTCCAGCCTGTTGTTCCCACAGGGTTCTCGAAACATCTGATGGTGATGGTGGTTTTTCCATGAATGATTGCAGCATTGCTAAAAGTCTAGAAGAGGCAACAGGTAAAAGTGATGGCTCTGATGGAGAGGCAGATGGATGCAGCTGGAACGTCAGCTCCTGCTCTTACCACTATGGGACTTCTGACACTCTTTCTTGTCCCTCTGAATCGCAATGTTCTCATCTTCCAAAGGGGTTTTGAATCTAACTTGCAAGGTGATTTTGAGGAGAAAATTGTATCTGTATTGGAAAGTTGGTCCCACTGGCCTAAACCTCTCAGATGTACTTTATCCCCTACATATTCCCCTGAGTGGGCTCTCCCTGCCCTCTAGGCTCCCTCCTACAGACCTGCTGCCCTAATGAGGGCAGCTCCCTGGGACACCTCTGTACTGTCCCCTTCTCCTAACAGATCTGTTCTTGGGATCATGCTGTGCTCCCCTCCACCCTTTCCTAGGAGCTCTGAGCCAAGATAAGGATGAAACCCACTCACTACTGGAAGTACACATTTCACCTCTTCCTGGTCAGGGCAGCCAGAAGCTTCGCACAGGGGCTGACCTCTCCTGTATTGTGAATACATGGATATATTTTTTTGTGTCAGGATCCCTGAAATCCAATGGCAAAATGCTTGCTGACAGAAAAGGTTAGATGGTTAGAGACACAGGGAGGTTTCAGGCAAGAGGGTATGCTTTGGGAAAAGCTTTGAAAATTGGGCAAGATTGGAACAGTCAATGGAAAAACGGAGAATATTCTAGGCAAATCATCGAGGTCCCTCTGGCCCCTTAGTTTACATGGCCTGTGCTTAGCAGCACTCAGAGTGGATTAATGTATGTTCAATTTCCTTCTGGAAGAAATGGGGACATACTGGTGGTCTTCCTTTCTGTCTGCTGATACTGTTGGTTCTGTTCTATAGACAGATATCCTGCCTCTTTGGGACATTTCTGAGTGGGGAGAAAGGTGTGTGCTCCGCACCCCATTACTGTATTCATTATTTAGTGCTTTTTGTTCCGTTAACATGATTCTAGCTCCACAGTGGATCCTCAAGTGGAGCAGGAGAGTCACAGGCTCTGAAGTGCCTATTTCAGACCCTTATATGCCCCACAATACTGAATCAGGTTGAAACTTCTGCGAAGGTCAACTATTTCAAGGACACAGTCCTAAACCTTAGGATGATTCATGTTGGTTTTTGCATGAGAAATACTTGGTGATTTTTTCTTCCCTCTTCTCTATTACTCCCTCCTTATATTTCCCCCTCCCTATATTCTTATGGCTGAAAAAAATATTTTATCCTTCACCCTATAATAGCCCAGTTTAAAAGTATTTTATGTAGTCATATGAGGCATAAAAGATGATCAGTAATAATGCTTGGGGACCTTCAAAGGGGAGATTCTTAAAAGTTTGGCATAATGGTAAATGGGAAGGACACAGGTTGTCAAATTGATAAATTGGACTTGACATTAATTTCCTTTTAATGAAACACAGATTCAGAAATGGAAAGGAGATTCTTCCCTCATGTTGGGTGTGATCTTTGTCAATCTCTGATTTCCTTGGTCTAATTTTTCTGAAAGAAAATGATGACCATCTTCTTTCAGCAACTTAGGGCTCTGATGAGACTTATGGGGCAGTGTGGAAGCATCTTCTGTGATAATGAGGATGCTTTCATAGACTCTGGGGAAGTGAGGAGTGAGGAACTCTATGGATTAGTTGCCTCCACTTATTTTATGGAATATTTTAGGATTAAGATAAAGGCCCAAGTTTTAAGACAAGAGAGATCAAATCTGGGTTCAATATAGGAAAGAAATTGAACTCTCTGAGCTGATTTTCAAGGGAAATGCAGCCTCTTAGAGGAATGAGGTCTCTGTCCCTAGGAGTTTTCAAGCTGCAGGTAAATGGCTCCATAAGGATTCTGTTTTGTGAAGGTGACTGTAGTTCTGGGCCTCAGAATGATTTATCTCCTCTCTCATTCTATGTGCCCCCATGTTCATTATGTCCAGTATTTATTTACCTCACCATCCTCTTGTTCCCAGTATCCCAGCTGCCAACCCACATATGTTAGAGGCCCCATGTCTGACTTTATCATTATGACCTTGGATTGAAAGTCACCCACACAGAAGTGCACAGCTGGGAAGTTAGTACTCTGGGTGGAAGGAAGTTTACCAGGTATAATAACCAAGTCATCTCACTGAGCAAGCATTTGGCATAGTGCAGGGCCTAGGAAATCTGTTTCTCCTTCGTAACCTCTGAAGGGCTTAGAATTGGGGCTCTACATCTTTCTGCTGTGTCCTGGGAGAAACCAATAGAAATCCCAGTGGGATTTGAAACCCAAGCCTCCATTCTGTTACTTTCTCTGTTTTATAGTGTCAGCAACTGGGCCATATGTACTAAGAGTCCAAGGTTGTCTTAGCTGTGGAAAATGCAGGTACACTTAATTGAGCATCTGCTGTATGCCATGGACTGACTA